GTGCACGCAAGCATTCATGCCATCATTTGCAATGCATGGTCGATGCTAGCGGCAATAATATTCCTGTTACTGAATTGCTAGAAGTTTGGGGGTCAATGCCCTGGCGATCGTGTTGCCGATGCCCGCAACGAATTCGGTCATCTCCGCCATCCACTTCCAGAATAGCCTGGCTGATGCCAGTGGTGCATTGGCTCTCTTCTCTGGGCTCCGAGCATCACGAGGGGCTGCTGCGAAATTCGGAGAAACATCTATGTCCATGCGCTCACACATATGTCGGGCCCTAGACCAAGAGAAGATATCCCATACCGGAGTTCGGAAACTCGGCAAGCTCTGCTACTGCTTTGTAACTCCGCATTCTGTGTCAACGCATCCTCACAGCGCGATGGCGCCTGGGAGGATCGACGGTGCGCACGTCGAAGCCGCAGCGCGACCCTAAACCCAGCGCCGCGAAGGCCTCGTTGAGTTTCTGCAATCTATGCACCGTCAGCGATAATTTTACCTCCAGGGGATCATCCACCCTTCCACGAGATTCTCCAGTTTTTCAACTGCCCAACCCTCCCGGATTGACAGTGGATGAACCTGCAGCTAATACCACAGCCCAAATCAACAATTCAGAAACGGCAAGTCGAAGACGAATGAAGCCATCGCGGCCCACGTCTGGAACTTTGGCTCAAACCCTGAGCTGCCTCGCGCAAGCGGCCCTTTGTGGCGGCAAGGATCGGCGGCTCCCAGGTGCCTCGAACATGCCAAGAAAGACTCGTAAGATCTCATCATCGCCTCGCAAGCTACCTGCTTCGACGCGTCTCCGACCGAATGTTCAAGACCCGAATCTGCAAAACTTGTGCATGGTCTGCTCGATTACTAGGTTCCGTTCACATCCACACCGATCCCAACAAGCTTGTGCCTTTCGAGTCCTACAGAGCTTCCGAATGCCTGAAGTGGGTGTCTGTCCGCACAAAATCATTGATGTGGTCTGCTAGCCAATCACGGAACTGCTGGTGCCCCCGTTTTCTGTTCGAACTCACAATGAAAACTTGCCACCCAACCTCTGCTGCCTCCTTAAGTTTTCGCAGGCTTAGGCATGCGTGGGCAATGATTCCTGCCGGCGGTGTGCGCCAGTGTACACGGCCAACACGCGTCGCCTCATCGCGAATGTGCAACATCGGAACTGCTCCAACGACGACAAGCTCTGGGCCACGGTTTCGTGCTATCACCTTTGCGCCGCGGTGCGCTCAGGTATCGGCGTCTAGGCCCTTCATGCCTCGCAACCACACGCGCACACACACTCCGATCAACGTTTTTGTCCAGTGTGTCAGAAACTCCGCGGCAAAAGGGAACCATGGGAAGCCTTTCAGGTCTCCGGGCCCAGCATCGATGTTTTGACACTCCACAAAAGCACCATGTCGAGCGGTTGTCACAGGACGAGAACAGCAGTTTGCCTGCCAGACACCTTGGCTTCTGTAGAGCGGCCAGCAAGTGCCGCGAGGACCCACACTGCGACACTAGTCGTCACTATTCCATCTCACTCCTCTCGAAACTAGACCTTCTCATCAGCTCTGCCATAGTGCAATCTCATGGGCCACCGTAACATTGCCATGTATACGCAACGGCAAGTTTCACCTTTTGCTACGATCCACAGTGCCGTTTGCGGCGCCCTGTCAGATCTTGGCTAATCCTGGCTTCGGCTCGAACACCTGCCAACCACTTCCTTACCCTCTCAGCAGGATCAGGTCTGAATGTGATTCCAACCAAAATCACCTGCCTGTCCAGAACAGCAGTTGGCTTCCAGGCACCTTTCGACAAGCAGGCTGTGCACTAGTCAGTTCAGGATTCACCATACCATCCATAGCTCAACCCCAACTTGGTCCATCTTGATCGTCCATCCCTACACGCTCGATACAGTAAACCCCGTCAAAGCAACTTTTTGGATGCACTATTTTTTTACGTTTCGAAACTGTAGATCTCCAAATCCTCAGCTCGTCTCAAAGAACATACCGTACAGCCTGGGCCAGCAGGGCAACCAAAGGGTCCAGGTTTTTGGATGCAGCGCGCGCCGCCACGGCGAAGACGATCCCGCCTTTCGCCGACTGGCGGTGCCGTCTGGCAGGGCGTGAATTTGGAACTCTCTTGGATGCCGTGAGGACGCAATTCTCTCTGTTGTCCGTTGTTGAAAATTCAACCACCGAAATGTCGAGCAAGACAGCTCGAGACTTTGCAGTTGGCAATCGCTAGCATAACGCCGAAACTATTGTTGCCGAATATTGCCAACATGTGCCAGCCCTTTCTTCAGCCTGAAAAGCTCCGCCATAGCCTTGCAGTCGGCCTGGACCGGTGCCACGATATGAGAGTCTCTGATGCTTCGCTACAGAGAGATGTGATGAGGCTTTTCGCTCGTAGAGGGTCCGATGCCGAGCAGCCTCCGTGTAAGATTCCAGGCCCACGGGATTCGCCTTCCAGCCGAGGCTGAGGTGCGCGCCTTGCACAGTGTTCCAGAGTTTCATCTTGACCGGTCGTGGCTCCTTGCGACAAGAGCCTGGGCAGTGGCGTTGCGCGGCATCGAAGAAGGCGTCGGCAGGAACGGCACAACGCCAACTCCGGAGTCCGGGGCCCGGAAGTACCTGAGTCATCAAGCACGGAAGACAAGGGCTCCTGGTTCTTTCAGGCGGGCACGGGCAGAGAACTGGGCCCCCCACATCCGCATTCAGCCACACGGCCTCAACCAAAGACACCAAGACGCGGAGTTACGGGCACTTCTTGCGCTGTACTCGGCTGGCACTGCGCGGCCATGTGCGGCCTGGCCTGGCCATTCGCAGCCAGCTTCTCGCTGTGCTCTGCCAGCAGCGGCAAGCAGAGCTGCACGGCCTCAAGGTCCTGCAGCGGAGCACTTCATCCCGAAGTGCAACGAAGGCAATATGCATTTGCCACCATGGGCCTTGAAGTCGAACTTAACATGACGTCGCCCGTCATGAATGACTTCATCAAGAAATGTCTGGAAGGACAGGTCGGAAGTGAGGACAGGCCTCGGTGCACCGGAACACGTAGCTTGCGAAGACACGTGCATGCTCTACCCCGATGCGACTCAAACAGACGTGTCACCATCTGAAGCCTCAGCTGAGTCTTGCACGGGTGCGCCATGACAGGGACGAGAGCGGTTCCGCTTCCGCTTGGTCCTGTCAGCGGATCATGCACGACTTACTTGAGCATGTGCCGCAAGCTTGTAAGGCAAACCAACAACGTGGGGCCAGCCTGCAAAACTTTTTACTCGAATTGGGCGGATCGCAGGGGAGTTACACATTATACTCGTTGGGAAATACAGTCAGCCTGTCAAGTATCCCATGGCCACGTCGACCTCGATAGCAGTAATCGCAGGATCCTGGCAGCACATGCCACAACCTAACTCTTCAATGCTGTTCTGATCTCTTCCGTCCTTCAGTGCAGCTTCCAACTTCGCTCGTGTAACGCATGAATGGGCCCAGACCTGGTCTCCGGCACCGAAATCCAGCCACCGGTCGTCAACACGCGATGGCGCTTTCTGCAACCTTCAGCCTGCCTGCTGCGGCGAAGGCATGGGTGCCCATCGCATGCCACGCTTGCGCGGCGGCCGCTTTGCTTCCAACACCTGAACTCTTGGCAAGTCAAACCCTTGCAAGAGCTTAGCTGCTGCGTGCTACCGCAATGCCACAAGGCCGCGGACCACTCGTGGGGGAGGTGGTCGTTCTGTGACAAGCACCTGAGAAGAGTCACCTCTGAGCAAAGCCAGCAGTCCGAAGCCACGACATTTTTAGGCCCCAGCAGGTGTTGAACGCCACTCAACAGGCAGCGTGCCTGCCTTCGATGGCCCAAGGGTACAGCCAACCAGACAAAGGCCTGCAGCATTCAAGGTGCAACCGAAGGTGCATTCCATCTTCTTTTGTACATCCCGTTTGTTCGTTGCAAAGGACTGCACAGCGCCCTCCGTCTCTCCGCTCGCCCCTCGTGATTATCACAGCGGTTTGGATCCTGCTGCCCCTGATGGACCGAGGCAGCACACGTGAATAGAACTCCTCCCTGTCAGCGACACAGTCACCCTCCTCTGAGCTTGTTCCAAACATCTCAGGGTTCTTAGGCATTCAGCCCCGGCTTTAAGAGGAGAGCAGTACAAAGCAGCAATCTCGAAAGACTACATCGAAAACACTGGATTGGGATCCCTCTCTCGCTCTCTTTCTTTCGCGAGGGCGATGAGCTAGGGGAAATCCCCCTAGCCCTCTCTCTCTCTGTCTCTCTCTCACGCACGGCGGCATTGAAATGCATTGAAGACACCTGCCGCGGCAGTCAGCTTCTGGCGGGCGCTCCGCGGAGCCCGCTGCGACGAGCTCATGGCTGTGAAAAGACCCCCAAAATTTGACAGGGCACCTCGTGAGAGCCTTAACTCGAAACCCATGCAAGAGTATACGCACGTAGGTGACGACAGGAATGATCTGCGTGTCAGAATGAGTAAGCCGCCAATGCTGACACGGTAACACTCACATGCGGCTGCACCCACAAACTGCTGCAAACTGTATGGATTCCGGACAGACCAGATGGCAGAAGCTGAGAGATTAACATTTTCAATATCATGTTATCTTATTTTGGATGGATGCTAGACTCCGGGCGCCAGTGCACCCAAGCGCCTTGGCGCGTGGATCTGTAGGTGGCAGGGGTAGGACCTGCCCACTCTAAGAGCTCCGCATGGTTGGTGTGAATCCGCTGTAGGTCTATCGCGAAACCGGAAAGATCCACGCTGCGGCCAAACTCCGAGCTGCTTTTGCAGGGGCATCCAGCATAGCACAAATTCTTCCCTGGGATGAGCCTAGACCAGTGTCGCCTCTACGGCTGGAAGCGTGGGCCACATTTGCCGGCACGCAGGGGCGGCGCTTGCGAAATGGCGGGGGTCCACGCATGGGAAGCCCCTCGCCGGCTGATCTTGGGCCCTTTCACCCAGGCTGCCCATTTCGCGAAAGCTGTAGCAACGAAATCATCAACTATGTGGAGCGTCTTTGGCTCCATTGCTCAAACGTCATCCTTGGCTCCGTTGCAAACTCGTAGCCATAGGCCTTTGTTCCTTCCACCTGCCAGGGAAACAAATGTTGTATTGTAAGAAAAAGTCGTAGGAGTAGGAGGAATAGAGGAGAAGTGGGAGTAGGAGTAGGATCAGATGCAGGGGGAATGGGAGTGGGAATCGGAGCCGGAAAGAAGGAGGAGCAGGAATAGCAGCAGTATCAGTATTCGTGCTAGTATTAGACATGGGTAATACGTAATACGTAGGAATTATTAGGTAATTATTATTAGGTATTAAGCATTCAGTCTCAGATATCAAAGTGCGTTTTTTGTTGTCGATACTGTTTTGGTTGCTAACCTCACCGAGCTAATGAATGTGATATATGTGGCTGGCAAGCGTTGCAGTAGAAGTTGACCACGTCACTAGCCACCAACTCAAGTTGCAGGCACACGCACCCTGAACTGTCTTTTCACAAAGGGCGCTCTGTCGTTGATCTGTGTAGCGGGCATGGCTCGGACTGTAGGATCAGACGCCTACAACTGAATCGTACAGTCGTAAGCCGTTGGCTTTCGGCAGTTTTTGAGCCACCGAGATGTGTATTCAAGCGGAGCACTTGAAAGTAGATAGCGGGGCACTTGAAAATAGATACACTCTGTACACTCTGCAAGGCATAAGTGTGCATTAGTTGTTGGTAGCGCACATTTTGCTATGCAGGCCTGTGGTACCTTGATCATGTATAGTTCTCATAGCTCTCATCGTGACACCAACGAGTTGTACGAGGTATCGAAGTCTGTTCGCGTCCCCCATGCGTTAGGCCTGCTCACAAAGAAACAAGTGCTTTATCCGCTTTTGCGAAATAGACGTACGAGCCTTGGATTCCCAATTAAAGAAGGTGTGACACTTCGCTACGTCAGCGACGATCCCCCGAAAATTTGCGAATCAGGGTCAGGGAATCACCGAAGAAAACTGCAGTGTGATAGAAATTCGAATGTAGATGCTGGTGCAACAAAGCTGAATGGGCGATGGATGACGCGAGCATTCCGGAAAAGGATCACCACGTATAGTCACGTTCCCATCGGCAGCAACGTTCTCATTCCCGCTCACGGTCCGCTGGGTCTTGATCCTTGCCCTTTCCTTTGCCCTTGTCATTCCATCGGTTGGCATTGCCTCGGTGTTGAGGTCACCCTTCGGGTTCTGCCGGTAGGACAGCAGCTCGTTCCTCCTCAGTCACAGGTCGATCTCAAACACCATGTTGTCCGGGATCCAGGTACTCTGCGGCTCGGATGCGGTTAAGTGCTGTAGGATGCCGACTACGTCCAGTATCCAGGCGCGAATGGTCAGCTTCGCTGTATACATAGCCGGTATCATGATGTCGTAGTTGACTAGCAGCTCGATGGTCGTGGCCGCTTAACCGCTGTAAACGACAATCCATTGATCATCATCACTGCCACTGGATCGATGCACCGGAAGTCGTAAAGTTCCGCAGGAGGCGGCCTCAGCATCGCGAACATGGATTTCTCCACCACCTTTGCGACAAGGGTGCGCAAGACGTCGGAGCTGCTTTGAAAGTTGCAAGCCTTCTACAAGTAACCCTTGAACACCAACACAAGACTCCACTCTTCTCACTCGCTTGAGCCTTGGTAGAACCTGCGGTGGTCGCACAGTGAAACAATCGTATTGGGCATTAAAGCAGCATGCAGTGTAAATTGAAGTGTTTGTTCTGCCGATACATACACTCTGTTCTCACATGCCTTCACCTTCAGTACAAACGACTCTTGCTTCTCGCAATCTCCCATGTCGCTAGCTTAAAGCTACTTGGCTAAACTAGCTTGGGAAAAATTTCACAACAATGAGCCTTCTTAATTCAGTGAAACGAGCTAAAGGGAAATTAAAGCAGTTACGGCTTTCGTCGCCTCTTTTCTCATTTCGACTACTTTGTTCTTGGCAGGCTTGGCCAACGCACCACTCACGGCTTTTCTTCTCCTTCTTCTTGTGCTTATCATATTTGATTCTTTTCTTTTCTTCCTTCTTGTGCTTTTCATCTTTCCTCTCTTCGTTCTCTTCTTCCTTCTCTTGCTTCTTAAGTTCATCTTCTGCCAGTACCAACACTTTTGCCACGCGTGGCTGCCCCAGCCAGGGAAACCACCCTTTGGCTTTCCCTGCTGGTGGCAAAGGATGCAGAATAATTCGAGCCTTTGCTCCTGGCGCACCCGTGCCGATGGGATCGTGCTGCCCAACTGTTCGGCAGCCTTGTACATATACAAACAATCCTGTGCAGCATGTCCGCACTCTTGGCAGAAATAACACACCGCTCTTCGCGGGGTGACTGCCACCAGGCTTTCTTTCCTTCACCTTTGTTGCTCCATCCTGGTGGTGGCCCCGTAGGCTCCTTCGGCTTCTGCTTTCCGACGTCTTCGATCTTCGTACGCCTCTGTGGCGTACTGGCCTCAGCGCCAGTCTTCTTCCTTTTCTTCTCATCTTGGCTTTCCACAATCACATCTTCCATTTCCTCATCATCTTCTTCTTATTCATCTTCTTTATTCCTTTCAACAGCCTTGGCCGCCTTGGCCTTTGCCAACTTCTTCTCAGGCTGTCCTTCCGTTTCCGTTACGGGACCTTCTTTTCCCTCTCGCCCTTTTAAGAAGCTTCTGAAGCATAACCTGCTTAGGTTTCTCGCTTCCTGCTGCCTCCTCGGGCACTTCGAGGAGTTTTATAGTACTCAGCGTACGCATCTGCCACTTTTTTCATTGCAATAGTCGCATCGAAAAGCTCCAACAGAGCGGTTGAGCTCTTGGAGGCTTGCTCTAGCAGCTCTTTCTCTTCTTTGATTGTATCATTGTCGCTGCTCGAGGTTCTCCCCCGTCATGTCCGCGACGCTTAACTCGATCATCAAACACTTCTCGCATCACTGCTTGCAACTAGGGAGAATACGCTCCAGTGAGCCTTCTTCTTGTTTGCTTCATTCATTCATTGGCTTCATTTCCACTTGAATCATCTTCTTCGTTGTGGTTGTAGTGGATGTAGACGTCGTAGAATGTCCTGCGAAAGTCCTGCGTGTTTTGGCCATTGCGGTCTACTGCTGCTTTGGTAAAACTGACCTTGACAACTACACAGATTCTTTCGGTTTTGAACGTCACCCCTCATGGATGGAAGATCCTTGCCTTCCCAATGCATCGGCTCTAGTCAACATCTGCGGCGTGAACTTGGCCGTGGACCTGGAGAACGACCTGCCTTCGCGAGCCGCGTCCCGAGCTGGGTCCGAAACGAGACCTCGGGCGTCCTCATCGTCGTCCTGGTCGTAGTTGACCCGCTCGACCGCTGAGGTGAACGCCCTATCCTGCGTGTCGTCCTGAGCTCGGCGACGAAGAGCTATCTCCCAGAATTTTGAGGGACGCAGAGGGGGCAGCCCAAGCATTCTGGACGAGCACCGGAGGGCCTCTCGGAACAGGCGCCAGAGCCGCCCCATCATGGCTCATCTCGGCGAGCACCCTTGTAGCGACGATCCCCGGCTCGCGAAAAGAGCTTGCTCTCGGCCTGAACATGGAAATTTCCTGCATCCAGTCCAGCCACGAATGTGACGACGACACCCGCATTCGCCGGATCCAAGTCAGCACCATTCCCGACCGCATCTTCAGACGAGCGGTCCGTGACGCGGAGCTCTAAGCGCGCACTTTCTCGGCGACCACAGTTCCATTTAAGGTCCATTGCAACGATGGGTCCGACCAAGAAAGTACGACTACCGCGCTCGAAAGAGAACACGGAGACCCGCCATGCTGAAAAGGCCGCGACCACCACTGACAACCGAACTCGTCCACGGCGAACGCCACGAATGAAGAACTCATTAGCGAACTGCTGCTGGACCGAGAGGTCGGTGTCTGCGCGGAAACCGCGGAAAATCCAGTGGAACAAGATCTCGTTCCCGTTGTGGATCTTCACGTCCGTGCAGGACGGCGAGGTGTCGTTCAAGACCGGCCACGAGAACTGAAATGCCACGGGGCTGAGAGCATTGGCCGTGGTTCGATCACAGCGGCCACAGGGAGCTTCCGTCTGCGAATCGACCGATATCGCCACTGTTGCCTTGACTCCATCGAGCGTGTAGTTGGCGAAGAGGGACAGCTGAAAACCTGACTGCGATGGCATCACCTGATCTCTTTCAGTGAGAACATTGATCGACAAGGAGGAGTTCGTCATGATCTCTCTCACCAACCAGGCCTAAAAAAGGCGAGACAATGCGATTGTCTCTGGTATCCACCATGATGATGGATGTCTTTGTCCTCACACTTGGCGATCGACTCCAGGACCCCAGGAAGTGAGGGAGGCGAACTTCGTAGGGGTTGTGAGCTGCTTGTGGGAATTGACCACCCCCTCCACGGCGTGCATCGTCATTGCGACGGCGACCGCCACCATATCCGCCTCCATATCCACCGCCCTGGCCGCGATCACAGCGATAGCATTGATCACAGCGATAGCATTGGTCATCGCGGCCCTGACCCTGAGCTTGGGTCTCCCATGGGTCTCCCAGCCGTCCGAACCCAAAACATCCATTGCACGGATCCCAGGCCCTAGAGCTGTCCGGTCACACAAAACAAATCCTTCCCGGACCTTCGGGGCGATCGCCTCGACCCAAAATGGCCACGGGAAGATCTCCCATTCAACAAATCCTGAACAGGCGGCAGATCACATGCAGTAATGTGACCCTCCTATCCCAGACCATTCTAACCGATGATAGGAGAACTACTTCTGCTACTACAAGTGTGGCGGTGGCAGTAGCAGTACTTGTAGCAGTAGCAGCAGCAATAGCAGTAGCATTAGCAGTTAGATGTAGCTGCAGCAGCGTAGCAGCAGCAGTAGCAGAAGCAGTAGCCCGCTGCCTGCTTTGGATCGATTCGCGACGCCATCGAGTGGCACAGGACGTCCGCTACTCGGGAATTCTTCGCAAAACATGTGCAGCATCGTGCAGCATCAGATGGTGTGACAGTCTTCCCTTGCTGCAATTTCCACTTCGCTCAGCTGAAACAGCTGCAGCAAAACGATGTAACGATGCAGAACAAATCTCAACCTTGCTTCTTCCAGCTGCCTCTACAAGCATATAGGGGTGCCAAGCCTATCTCGTCCAATCGCACATCAAAACCGAACCTTTCGCGCATATTTCGAGTCTAGTCACTGTCATTTGTCTCGCACGAGGGCGTGCGCGTCGCGTCCCTTTAGAACCCTGTTTCGGGGCTCCAAGCCCAAGCTCGGCCTCCCAGACCTCCGCATGTGTGTCTGGACACTCGCTGGACCAGATCGGACCGCGCTCGGGCAGGTCGTCGTCACCGACCTTAGGCAAAGAGACATGAATCCGATTCGTCTCTCTGCAGGCTTGTCGGATTGGCAGCAGCGATCCTCAGTTCCTCCGAGATCCGGGGCACCCACAGGCACACTTCTTGCTTCGCCAGCACCGAAGAAATACTGGAACAAGACTCCAGTCTGCTGGTCCTAAGCATTTGAAAACCTGGACATCTGAGAATCTTCCTCGATACCAAAGCTTCGGACCCACTCGAAGAAGAGGCCCTTGTCCGAGTGGTGGTAGTAACACCGCGCCCCGCCCTCCACCACGTCCCACCTGAAAGGCCAGAACAGGTAAAGGCTGGGTAGATGCTCTTCGACATTCCGGTCGTTGTCCAAGACGCCGATCTTGTGCCTTGGAAAAAGCTTCCCTCCAGTTGATGACCGGCCTGCGATAGCCGTTTATGACACGAAGCGAAGGCACGTTTTCTCTGCCTTGGTGACTTCACAGGCTCGGTCGCCACAGATGGAGTCGCTGAATCGACCTTTGGCTCAGAGGAGCAGGCGAGCTCAAAGGTGCTCGACAAACTCGGGCCGCAGCTGCAGCAGCTGCGGCATCTGCTTCTGCCGCATTTTCTGCCGCATTTTGTGCTGCTGGCAAAGGTGCAGCTGCATCAGGTTCTGCACCAGCTGCTGGATCTTTGTCCAAGGCGTGCCCAGCAACATCCTCACCAGCGAGCCATTTCCTCGCCAAGCGTGGCCGTGCTGCGACTGCACTTCATGAAAAAGCGCCGAGTGCTGGCCTCAGCTCTTCCTTGTCGGAGCTTGAACCTCAAGCAGACGAGAAGCACATTTGCATCCGGGGCAGTCTGCGAGGAAGGTTGATGAAGCTTATGGGCTTATGCGCATGCGCATGGCAAGCACTGCGAAACAGCTGAGGGTCTATCCGCTCAGAGACTGGACAGCCGTCTTTGCTGAGGATGAACCTCATGTTGCAGCCAATAGACAAACCTCATACAAAAATCAAAAGATGAACAGCAGCCCTTGTCCATTGTGCCCGCTTATCTGGCACAGTCTGGGCTAAAGAATGCTTTGGGCGAATGCACTCGCCGCATTTCTTTGATTGCCTGTGGCTGACTTCTCACATGAAACTGCAAGAAGATCGTATCATCATGCGATGCAGCATATGCTGAAGCTCCCACACGGGTGTGCCGCAGGTAGGGAGCTGCGTCTGCCGAACCCGATGTCTAGCAGCCAGCGTTGTGCTTACGGCTTGCTGTTTCTTGGCCGAGTGAAATGACACTCCGATGGCATGCAGTCGAAATGCCTTGGATTCGGCCGGGTTCTGGCTGCGGCTGGGTCATGAAAGGACGGTTCACCCTTGGTCAACGGCTACCCCTGTCCGTTCTGCCCGGTTCACCTTCGGAACGATCATTGCCTGCTGCCACAAGAAGTATAGATGCTGACGTCTCACATGTCACATGTGAGAAGCTGAGATCGAAATCGAGTCGGAAGCAAACCGATGTAACCCAGAAAACAGAACTTGCAGAGCCAGCAGCGAAAACTATAAACATTGACACCAACAGAGATAGAAACAAAACCCAACGCAACAAAAATGTGGTTTTAGACTGTGCAATGACCGTGACTTCATCTGCTGCAGCATGTGCTGAAGCTCCCACCATCTCCCACCAGCCAGGAGGTGTGCCGCAGGTAGGGAGCTGCGTCTGCCGAACCGGATGTCTAGCAGCCAGCGTTGTGCTTACGGCTTGCTGTTCTTGGCCGAGTGAAATGACACTCCGACGGCATGCGATCGAAATGCCTTGGATTCGGCCGGGTTCTGGCTGCGGCTGGGTCATGAAAGGACGGTTAACCCTTGGTCAACGGCTACCCCTGTCCGTTCTGCCCGGTTCACCTTCGGAACGATCATTGCCTGTTGCTACAAGAAGTCATAGATGCTGGTAGATGCTGACGTCTCACACGAAATGTAAGAAGCTGAGATTGAAATCGAGTCGGAAGCAAACCGATGTAACCCAGAGAACAGAACTTGCAGAGCCAGCAGCGA